AGTTTATTTGTAACAGCTCTAGTGTTCGATAAGTCTGCTATATCCAGCACTTTCAATTATCTTTTAGATGAGTGGTACATATTAAAGTCTAATTTCCAATTGAAGATTTTCTTCTAAGTCATGACTACAATGATGTATTTATTCTAAGAAACGACGGGTGCATACTTTAATACAAAGGTATTCACAAATTAAATAAACGTCAAAATGTAAGAACGGGATGGATGCATACCGTATGTATATGCATATATTGGTCGAAAAACAAGGCACTTAAATATTCATACGCCAAACAAATCATTGGAAATTGTTTGTGAGCTGAGATACTGTCTAAGTGCTAAAACTGGGCTATCACCTAAGCCTTAGACCATTTAAGTTCAAATCCATAAGGTAGTGAGTGAGTGGAGGAACGTTAGGAAATGCAGTTCTATGGCAGCCGACCACCGACAACGTTATTTGTTCCCTCAGGATTCTGGAGCTGAAGTGCCCCATTGGGCTTTGTCGACTCTCTTACGTGGATTGTCTGTACCCATCAATCCAGTTTAAGCACTAGACATAGGTCATTCCTTCTTTCACTTTCATTAACAACACCCTTAACTGAAGTTGAAAACGATAAGGATAAGCTCAACTTTTCTGTTGTTAGCTAAAAAAACACTACTGTGTTTTATAAACTGAGAGATTTTATAATCTATTTCACCATAAATTTAACACCTTTTGAAACATGGATTAAATCTCCCTTTTGACCTTGTAATCTAACATTAGCACATTGATTTTCATAAATTGTTCATCAAAATCATCAATCATAAAAACATGCTACAATTTAAATAATTCCTTGAGTGTGTGTGTGTGTGAGAGAGAGTATAAAAATCTATTTGTAGTCTATAGCACTACAATGAAACATGAAAGTCATGTGATCAACAAGCACATGATTCGTGATTGGTCATAGGACTTTAACATATTAAATAACATTTACATGGATCGATTGAAATTGCCAACTACCTCCCTGTCTCTTGTTCTAATATGAAACTAGATGACAAGCAAGCGTATAAATTAATTCAAAATACGTACACTAATCAACAATGGTGATAATCATATAGTCATATAAATGCAATTCAATCAATTTATCATACATATTATTAATCAATTGTTTTGATAGACGATTTATAGTAAACAAGCAATCAATCAATCAATCAATTGATATGTGAATCGATCAATTCAATTTCATACATTTATAGTTGCTCTTATCATCTTGACGAAAACAAGAACCAAAAATAGAACTGAGGGATAACAATAACACATGAATTGGTTTGCTTATTTCACACAAAAAGTTCTCATTGGCTACTTTTATAACTTATATTCTAAACAGAATATTTCATAAAGCTGACATGCGCTTATATATAACAGGAAAAAATCATGGTCGAGAGTAATGAGAAGACTGAAGATATTTAGAAATTGTGCTAAATGAAATATAAAATGTGAGAAGGTTTTAGATCATGAAATGGTTTGCAATAGCACAGTTCAAAGCCTTTTATCACATCGGCCAGATTGGATCGATGAGCAGAACACTTTAGGGAGCGATCAGCCATACTTCAGTCTCATCTATCATCTGTAAACAATCCAAATGGTACGTTGATGAACGTTCTCTAACCAACTCTTAATGAGGTTGGAAAGGCTATAGGCAATCTAAGGTAAGGTATAGGCAACAGGCCCTGACAGATTAACACCTGAGATTTTTGAAGACAACGGTTCAGTACTAGCAGTTAGATTGACTGAGATATTAGGCAGAATCTAGAAACTGGACGTAATCCCATCTAACTGATCTCAATCACTGATTGTCGCAGTCTGTAAGGAAGGACAAAAGTCCTTTTTCGACAATTACAGAGAAATCAGTTTAGCTTACAGTCCAAAACATTAACTTCGATTATACTTCAACACATAACTAGAGCTTGTGAGGAGCAGACTCGAGAAAATCAGGGTGAATTCAGACTTGAACGTGGATGCATTGGCTATATATTCACACTTTGTCAGGTCCTGGAATATGGATACACATTCAGACTTCCCACAAAAGTTGTATTTCTCGACCTTAAGTCGGCATTTGACTCTGTTGATCGTGATGTTCTGTGGCAGTGCCTATCACTGAAAGGCGTACCAAAGGAGTGCATAAGCCTTAAACAGGCTCCCCGATCGAACACTACTGGTTGAATCAGAGCTTATAGCGAACTATCAGCAGAAGTGATTACTTTCAGTGGTGTTCGTCACGGTTGTTCACTTTCCCCATTCTTATTCAACTTTGTCCTGGACATGCTTTTAGGGATGATACTATCTTTGCTCCTATTGATTGAACCAATTGTTCGCGGTCTTTCTCTGTTTTTTGAAGACATTATCGAGGGATGTTCAGAAAGTCCCAACAATATACCATGATAGTGAGTAAACGAACATACAAAAAGGATTGACTTACAACTGATTTATTATGAGAAACTGGCATCCATACACAGTGTGAATAACAATCGGACTGAATCATGTAAGTAGGAGAGGTTTACCTAATTAGGGTTAGTGAGGTTATCAAGATAAATAGTTAAGCACTACATGTGACATGACTCAGATTTATTCACCCTTTGTTTTTCTTTAGAAGCTGAGTCCCAAAGACTTTTTCCATACCTAATGATTTTCACTACCAGCGATATTGTCACTAATTTTACTAGTCACAGATTTATTTCGGGATAATTTTATGTCCACTGTGCAAATGTGATGTAGCAACTTGAACCGAAGCTCATTTATGCCACGTTCTAGGTTGCTGATGACTGACTGACTACACTTTTGTAATCGGATAGCCTCAGGTAAAATCTAATTACAAGCAATTAAGATATTTTATTCATACGAATTGAATATAAGCGGAGTTGATAGACCTGACGACTAACATATGACACTTAAATGATGATTTCTAACACTACAAGAGGTAGAAAGAAGTTCGGATATTCGAAGAAAGTTTACATTCAAGAAGAAATATTTCTAATGGAACAACTCTCTATGATCAACGAAACTAACAATAACCTTGAGACAACAAAAATACTGAACTATAGTGATAACAAACCTTAGAACACTGAAAAGTTAGTAGGGAGATGTGAATTTCAATAAAATATCTATGTTCGCCTTATCGAAAATATCAAATATTTATCAACAAAAGAAAAACTAGATAACCTAAAGTCTACTTAAAAAAATAATAATGAAACCTGAATTTTTCGATAAGATCATACCGTTTACTGTTGAACTTTGGAAAATTGAAATCGATTAAAACAAAGTAACAATCGAATCATGAAAGCCAATGATTCAAAATAACAACTACTTAAACCGTATATACCTAATTTTTGAATACATAAAACTTTGAGTGTCAACATGCACGAGTGTGTGAAATTCGTACATACATACATACAGCGTGGGAAAAAACGTTATGGGAAATTTCAAATTCATAAAAACAAACACTTACTAGGGTAAATAACAAAAACAAGTACAAGTGTGCTGTGAGCTACTTATAAGTAGTATATGACGTGAGTGTCAACGTAATGTCTGGCAGCAGAAGATGGGGGAAGATCAAGAAAGGAAGAGTTAGAAAACAATGGAATTTGTATGAAACGCATCATGAATAGTGACAATGGATTGATGTTTTGCAACAGGAACAGTCCAGTTCGATATGATGAACTGATATTTTGCAAATTAACGATTTACGATATGGTTTTCCAATTTTACTGAGTAACTCTGTAATTCTCGTTAAATAAAATCCGGTTGCCCCACCTGAGTTCTCGTTCAATACACAAGATATCTGTGAAGAAAATTAGTTGTTTATAGATTGATCCACACAGAATGATATATATATTTTGTGTGAAAATGTAAGCATTTCCAGAAAAGAAGAAAGTGCAAGTTTTTTTTAACATTCTTATCCAAAAATAAAAAAACTAAAGAAACTCATTTCTTGCTTGCTTGTTTTTTTTCTTCAAATGAACAAATTCACTTACTTGAATATTAACTCATACATAACATCTTCACAATGAAAGTTTAATATTGTACGAAATAAGGATAAAGTGACCATTCCAAGCTGAATTGAAAAAAAACAAGAAAGAAAATTAGAAATTAATACAGAGAAGCAAAGAATAAAAACTTATTAACTCACTAATTATGCATTTGTCGAATATGAAATTAGAGAGTTTACAAAGTGAAAAGCTTATGAAAGAATTCGATTTTATTGCGGATGACATGCTGTCTTTTGTTTCATAATACGTTTAAATCTGACAATTATTATTGAAATGACAAAAGAAATTGTAATGCTTAAATTTAACTAATCAATATCTAAGGGGTGTGAAAAATATTATGTTGCCTTATATTCAATGTAACTCACACTGATCTCCAATGCAAGTGTTCATGTACTCGGCTATGAGATACTTTGTGTTTTGTCTCTTTTACTGAACAGATATTAATATCAGCCAGTTGGATAAAAAGAAAGTGGAAGAGTGATTTAAATCTGTGATCTTTCAGTTAAATGCCCAAATGTTTTCACCACTAAACCATTAGTCAATCTATATTATTCCTATTGATTTTTTTTAAATTTGATTCATTTAATCACCAGTTACATGAGTATGTGCCATGCTCTAAGTGTAAAAATGAATGAGACTATTTGCTTCCTTGAGCTGAAAACTTACACCGTCTAGTGAGGAATATAGGTTCAGCATCCATGAGAAGGAATTCACATTTAGTCAATCATGAGATTACCGATTTAACTGTTACTAGTAGTAAGACATCTTTGTGGAAATCGACTTTATTCAGTACACGAATACATGAAGGAATATCTATCTATAACTCGATTTGAAAAATTACGTTAAGCAGAAGACCATCTAATTAAGGCATCGCTGACTTATTGATGAAAGCGATTGATCAGTAGATTTCAACTGCAAAGGCAGCTGTACTTATATCGATTTCAACAACTGAATTGTTAGTAACAGCTGTCACACATAAAGAAGCTAGGAGTCCAGTACAGTTAATTAATTATATTTGATATATGAGTTACAATGCAAGCTGCACTGAAAACAACTAGTAAGATTGATTGACAATTGATCAATGCTAACGACAACACTTAAGAATTAGAAATTTAAACTTTTCTAATTGCTTTACATTAGTAGTCTATAAGACAGACAAATATACAAAATCCAATAAAAAATAAGGCAGCTTCAAAATATTCAAATGCAAATGTCTATCATAACTAACATCACTGTGGTGAGAAGTTGCTATAATGGGTTAAAAAAAGAACTGAATAGTTATCAGTTATCTCATGTGACTTGTATTTATTACTCCCACTCTTGGTGCTAATATTCAATGCAATTTTAGTCTGAAATGTCTTGTTTTCGAATGATTGTAATATTACGACGACATGGTATTCACTTGATCATTGATTGATCACATAGAAACGCAACCAATGAAATGTTCGTTTAGTTACTGACATTGGTCACTACACTAAATTAAAAATAACTCTAACGTTACGCTTAAAAATTTGGTTACAGAACTTATCAAAGCCATTGATAAACAGATGGAGCACACAGCAACAGTCATTAAGGTACATATTCGATAACCCTTGATAGTAGAATCTGTTAACGTCAAATGACCCGATAAACGGTGGTAAGAGAAAACCATGTTTATCGATAGCAAAATACAATTGAAACGGGGCATAAGATCGACATCAAGACAATCTTTAAAACATTGTATTGAAATGTGTAAGGACGAATTCTGAGGTTTTTGGAAGCCTTGGCTATTCGTAAATTCAATAGCCCACCACCTAACGGCTCAGTGGAAGAATTTCGCCAGCAATGAATAAGCTTGCTGATGTCACAAGCTGTTACAATGAAATAGGGTAACAATGTAACTTTTATTTCCTTCGAGAAGGCAGCGAATTTATTAAAACGAAATAGGTTTGTTGTGCAACGTTAGTCTTGCGAATGCAGCTGCTAGTCAGTAATCCGTTATGAAACATCTGATTTTTTAAAAACAATCCAATAACTAAAACTGATTTTCCCGAGTACACATTTGCATCACGAACAGGTCAGCAAACACTTAATCATGCATAAATTCATTTCTATCACCGTCGATGCAGTTACAAAACTTCATCAACCGATTTGGCACCTTAAACCTAAACTTAGCATTGTTCACCGATTGGTTCATAATATATGATATGTTACTCATTTGTTCAACATTCCACAGACCATGTTACACACATACATGGCTAAATACAAACGGGACTGATTAACAGTACGCTCGTTTGCTGCTTAGTAAAAGTCAAGGGAGTGTTTTTAAATGCGTTCCAAAATCCTCTCAGACAATAACACACGAGGGCTGACGAGACTGTCTAGGTAAAGCATTTTCAGATAATTGCCTTTAACCGTATCATATAGGTATAGCATAAACAGTAAACTATATAAAAGTCTATTGAAGAGAGAAACGAAGAGGTTATCAATCTCAAGCAGAATAAACTCTAGAGAATATTTAATTGTTGCTGAATTCTCGAGTACATCACTGTGAATAATGATTAGCTTAAAATAGAACGATCAAATACATTTTAACCGGTTGTTGTTTTAGATGATCAATAAATGTTTTGTATAGAAATAATTAAAAAAAACTTTTATAAATCTATGATAAATTTTCACAAATTAACCATTCAGAAATCAAACCAACAGAGATAATAATAGTAGTAGTACTAACAGTAGTAGTATAAAGTTAACTAAGGATGATGTTGATGCAGAAGTTATTTATAGAGACTGAACAAGTAAGTAAAAAGTAGTTCAGACTATCTACACAACTTAATCACTGTAAACATGCTCAAGGATGTCAATATAGGTAAATATAAATGCAGTGATATAAGGAGAGAAAAGAAAGAAAACAGTCACAACAAGGAATAACACACTAAAACATGCAACTGATTCAAACCGCAGTGAAATATGAACATTGTTGTTTTTCTTGTCAATATTGAATGATTTTTTTTCTCAAACATAACACAACAACAGTTTATGATGTCATAGGCAGGAATCAACAGGTGTTATTCTTTTACTCAATCGATATACTAAAAAACCGAAAACAAGTTAGGAGTAGTCCAAACCGAAATCTTATTATTAGTCCATAAACCCAGTGAGAATGTCAGAGTGAACCATGTCGACTACCTAATACAGGCCAATGTGATTGATAGTTACCATAAGTAGTCGATAGTGCATGATATACATATATTTCGGGATTGGACACAATAATGTGAATGCATTTTATGGTTTATGATATTCTTCAATGTTCCATCTTTTTCACATCATCACTGATACATTGTTTCCCGACCGTAGGTGCTACCTTGACGTGGTGATCGGGCTTGCCTATAGTGATGACCCAACCGAGCTATACTGGCTGGAACATATGTTCCTGCAGGTCCTACCATGCCAGGCTGGTCGATTGGAGAACGATGAGACTAAAAGCAGATTCTCAAGGTCTGAGGGCGAAGTCGTACTGCTGACTGCAGAGGGGTGTGACAGCAGTAAGGTGTTTCCTTCGGACAACCAGCATCTGCAGCGATGCTGCCTTCTCACAAGGAAGGAAGGGTCAGAAAAGGTCGACCCTAAAAATGTCACACCTCACCCTACCTCATGGATTTCCGCCTCCTGCGGTAAGGATTCCCACTAAGGGCATTTAAGAGCGGAGCTAATCCTCAAAAAACCTTTCATCAAAAGGCCGTGCATGACCGGCCTCAAGCAGTTATCCCCTAGACTATGCGGTCACGCACCCAGGTCTGCAAGACCAATACTAATCTATCTTCCTTTTCAGATCCCTCAAGAAACAACCTTCCACGGTGTGGGCAGCCGGGAAGTGACAACCGCCCTCATACCCGTAACAGCACGACAGACTAAATTAGTCAAAATCAAATCCTTCATACACCCCCACATACCTCTCTTCTCTCCACAGCTAAGTCTACTCACATTCCCTTATCTGACTGCACCGCTAATGCAAACGATGCGAGTTCATGAAACGTCATTCATGTTCTTTTAAAACCTCGTTCTAGACTACATGTTGGAGCATTTAATGTACGGACATTATGTCAAATAGGGCAACAGGCTTCCTTAGCTAGGACTTTAGAATCTTGCGCCATCGATGTGTGCTGCGTCTCGGAAACGCGCATACAGGATCCTAGTAAAATTATTAATCTGATTTCACCTCGTGTATCTGGAAGCCCTGATGCTGCTTCCCGGGATCTTGTTGGCGTAGGCATAGCATTGAGTCGTAGAGCTGAACAATCTCTCCTTGACTGGATCCCAGTAGATAGTCGATTGTGCGCTGTCCGACTAAACGGGACAGTAAGGACTCGGAAAGATAGGGACACTCGCCGTTGCCTCTTCGTCGTATCTGCCTATGCCCCCACTGACCGCAGTGCAGACGAGTTGAAAGACAAGTACTACAGAAAGCTTTCGGACCTCCTTCAAAAAGCTAACCGCTCTGATATAGTAATAGTGGCTGGTGGCTTTAATGGTAACCGTCCGTTGCAAATATGCTCAGATAACCGCCTATTCTTAGCAAACACTAACTAAGGAAAAACATCTGTTGACCTGGCGACCCCCAAAGTCGTCCAAACGTTGGACCCAACTAGATCAGATCACCATCAGCCACCGATGGAGGGGTTCGATAGAGGACTGTCGCTCGTTCTGGGGCACACGTTTAGATTCAGATCATGCCCTGGTGCGAGCTCGTATTTGTTTGAGGCTTACTGAACGTAGGAAAGACACTTCAAGTAAACCTCTTCGGGTTTTACTTAATGATAATAAGGCGAAGAATATATTCCATGAACAACTAGAAAGAGAGTTAGGCGACCAATTAGGCGATTCCAATCCGGAAGCAGGTTGGAATGATATCAAAAAGGTTGTGGAAACAGCAGTGATATCTGCTAGTAAGGTAAACCATAAAACTAGAATGAAGCCATGGATCTCAGTAGCATCCACCGATCTGATGGATGCCGGAAAACTCATCCCACCTGGCTCTGAACATGATGAAAAGCGAAGTCAGCTTAGGCGAAGGCTGATAAAAGCCTGCACAACGACCGTGAACAGTGGTGGGTGGCGAAAGCAAAAGCAATCGAAAAGGCCGCGACGATAGGCAACACTAGACAACTTTTCCGACTTATTAGGGAAACTGGCATTAGGAATCCTACTGTAAGTGAGACCATTTCGGAAAAGGATGGTCTTATTATCCATTCTCAATCCAGGAGACTGAATCGATGGGCAGAACACATTAACAATCAGTTCAACTGATGCGACGGCAAGCTGCAGGTCCTGATAGACTGACCCCTGAGTTATTTAAGGATGGTGTTTCAGTTCTAGCAGCTAGGTTGACTGAGATCTTAGGTAGAATCTGGGAACTGGACGTAATCCCATCCGACTGGTCTCAATCACTGATTTTCCCAATGTATAAGAAAGGACAAAAGCCTTCTTGTGACAATCACAGGGGAATCAGTCTAACTAATATAGTATCTAAAATATTGGCCTCAATAATACTTCGACGCTTAACGAAAGCTTAACTACGCTTAACTACGACAGGTCCTAGAACACAGACACACATGTAGGTGTCCTGCAATAGTTGTATTCCTGGACCTTAAGGCGGCATTTGACTCTGAGGATCGTGATGTTTTGTGGCAGTGTCTGTCAATGAAAGGTGTACCAAAGAAGTACATTAACCTTATACAAGCTCTCTACTCGAACACCACTGGTCGAGTTAGAGATTATAGCCAACTGTCAACGGAATTCTTTACTTCAAGTGGTGTCACTCAGGGATGTCCACTTTCCCAATTCTTGTTTAATTTTATCATAGACATGTTACTAGATATTACCTTATGCTCGTCTGAATTTTCAGGAGTAGACCTCTTACCAGGTGGCTCGCTTATTGACTTAGAATATGCCGATGACATAGTCCTACTTGGTGAAGACGCTCAAAAAATGCAGTCTTCTGACTACCCAAACCAACAATGCAAGCATGTTTGGCATGCGGTTCTCCCCTCGAAATGCAAAATGTTGCTTCAAGATTGGGTTGCATCCGCACCTGAACTAGTGATAGGAAGTGAAGTAGTCGAACGTGTAGACCGCTTCACTTATCTGGGGAGTCTCATCAGTGCTGATGGCCTGGTTTGTGACGAAATCTCAGCTCGGATACAGAAGGCTCGATTGGCTTTTGCCAACCTGCGTCACTTATGGCGCAGGCGAGATATCCGTTTGTTAACCAAAGGACGAGTGCATTGCGCATCAGTTCGCTCTGTCCTACTATACGGATGCGAAACATGACCGTTAAGAGTAGAGGACATTCGTAGATTGCTTGTCTTCGATCATAGGTGTCTTCGAAGCATTGCTCTTGTAACCTGGGACGACCGGGTAGGCAATGCTGTCGTTAGGAAACGAGCACTAGGTAAGGATGGCAGATCAATAGATGAAGTAATGAAACTTCAACAGTTGAGGTGGTTGGGACATGTGCTGCGTATGCCTAACCACCGACTGCCTCGAAGAGCTTTGTTTTGTTGTGTAGGAATAGGTTGGAAGAAAGTTAGGGGCGGCCAAACCAAAACATGGCAGAAATCCATGAAGTCATTGACAAGTGGACCGAGTCATGTCGGTAGTTGTCGACTACCTGGTTGGGGTCCGCGAGATGATAATAATCGATGGTTAGAGAACTTGAATGACATGGCTCAAAATCGTTCGCAATGGCGCCGGTGCATTTATTCTTTGTGTTCTCTCAAATCCTAATCTTCTGGATTCTTCAACACCTCTAGTTTCGACTCTCTAAACTTTTCTCACTGAATCATACTTCGTGAATAATATCTTCTAATCCTAACCTCTTCGATTACTTCCAATACCTTTACTACCTATCCTACTATTGGATTTGAATTGACAATTACATCTCCGTGCTGATGTGGTATGGCGACATGAACTGATGTACTTACGTACGAAGTTCTACGTTGCATCTGACTGACTGACTGACTGAGATACATTAATTGTATACTTTTGCTATCCACTTTATTAATTCGATCTTATAAACGAGGAGATGGTATGATAAATTGTACCAATGAATACTTATGTGAATTATGACTACAGATAATGATAACAATTCCATAGATCACACAAAGTTTTCAGTTAACCGATGAGATTTCACTGTTTATTAGTCATGGTGTAAATATTCCACAGACTGAAAGCAAACATTTCCTTACAGATTGTTTTTAATAAAAAAACAATTGAACGACTTGAACACATTGACGAACAAACTACAATATTTTCAAAAGAGAAAGTAGACCGAGCAAAAGATATCATATAAACGTATATACAAATTATTTATTTATGATGTAAAAATATCACTGACATAATAAAGTCACTAAGGTAAGCGCAATAAAGAAACTGACAGTAATAAACATATAATAATACCAAAGAATAATTGACAGTATGATTTTGCATAGTATAAAGATTAGAGCAAACAACACATGCATATTTTCGACAGACATTAAGAAAGAGAGAGAGAGCAACAGCAATGAGCAAGACAATACAAACTAGACAGCAAGCATAATGAAAACATGAACCAATTTACTTACTTGATATCGTTTATCAGTGATCAACTAAATTATCAAACAAGGATACAGATAATAGAAAGTATATTTTGTTATAAGAGTTAAAATGCCGAAGAGAGAAAAAAAATTAACGTACTTCAGTGTCAAGAACAGTATGAATAGGATGTATAAGTTAGTTTATTGAGGAATAGTTCTTTGTTTTAACACATCAATTAAGTTTACTAACTTTAAACATCACTAACAGGAAGGTAAGTTTGTTCGCGATTCCGAGCTAACATGCTCTCACTACTATGAATAAAATATCACAATACTATGAAACCTTTTCATTTAAATAAACAATTCAACAATGACTATGCTGAAACTAGTTAAAATACGACTGACTAGATATCGATCAACGACATCTATAACTAGTGACATAATAAAACAACAGCTAAGCAGCCATTCTCTGCGACCCAGCTCAACTAAATACAGCAAGAAGTCAAATCTAGCAGCTACAATATATAATCCACAAGCAACTATGCGCCAACGAAGAATCATAAGCATTAGAGTCAAACGCAATTGATACAGTGCAAAAAGTGTCATTGGAAGAGTTAAAAAAATAGCACAATGAAACAGAAGACTAACCAATCATACTTAAGGTCCTTGCAGTTGGAAAACACAAATCGAAGGCAATAAGGGGCGCTGTTGGCGCGAGAATAAGAAATTCAGACAGACAGATACAACAAAGAACTTCGTACGTATGTACATCAGTTCACGTTGCTAAACCGCATTAGCACAGAAACGCAACTGTCAGTTCAAATCCCATAGCGGTAGCGATAGTAGAACTATTAGCAGTAATGGAGAAGATTACGGTATAATTCAGTGAGATTAGTTTAGAAAGAGAAATATAGAGATGATGAGGAATTCAGAAGGTTAGAATTTGAGAGAACACAAACAGTGGATGCACCTGCACCACTGCAAACGATTTTGAGCCGTGTCGTTCAAGGTCTTTAACCACTGATGACTTACGTCTCGCGTACCCTAACCAAGTAGCCTAACATCTACTAGCATGACTTAGTCCAATTGCCTGTGACTTCATGGATTTCTGTCATGTTTTGGTTTCGTCGCCCTTAGCTTTTTTCCAACCTACTCCTACATAAGAAATTCAAATTTACGGAAATAAATTACAAAATGAAGAGGTTTATTCAACTGATTTCTAGAGATCTAGTAAATTGCATGATAATAGACAAAATGAATGTGAACTTACGTCTAAAATCTAGATTTTAACAAAATCACAAACGTAATTACCTTGATGATAATCAACAGTAGAGTAAAAACTATTAAATAACCTAAGACAGAGTGTATTTATTTTGTTTGTAATATGGTCTAAATTCATATAATTCCGGAACCTAGATTAAATAAATCCACTTTTTATTAATAGTCCTGACTAATGTACTAGATAAATACTTATGACTAAAACCTAAACGGTAAGATTCCGTCAAAAATTACTGACAAATAAATATATTTACAAAGACTTTGAAAATTTAGTATACTCAAAAAAAGAACAATGTACCGTGAAGAAACTAGTAATGTCTTTAACTGTGATTGAAAAGACCTATAGGGATTTTGGGTGTGAATAAAATTCTAATTGACAAAATCACAAGTTACTCATAAGTAAGTGATTATGTGTGAAGGAAGTACTTATAAAAAAAAAACTCTATTGTTGCTGTCAATAGCAGAATTTTATAACCTTGCTAAGTCGCCTAAAAATATGGTATACAGTAAACAGTACAATGAAAAAGAAAAACAATGTGTTGGATAATCTAATCGCAGTTAGGAAATACCTTTAATTGAAACTCATCTAATGAAAGATATTTCTTAGAAAAAGCACTCTATTTTCACTGTTTGCCTACTCATACTTTAGTTCATAGAGAGGACACTCAAATCATTAGGTACTACTTGTTCGAAAACAAGACAGTTTAGAAAAGTGAGAACTTTGTAATATTGATTCGCATAGTTAGACAAGTCAGATGATGTACGCTATTCTATAGTTGTTGTGTCAGGAACAATATATATCTCTTCAGTAATTATATTTAGTGAGAAAAAATTTAAGAGTAATAATTGGTTGCAGAACCCGACCTAAGAGCTCGTGGAGCAGCTAGGTAATATGGGCGATGGAAACTACACTGATCGCTCATTTCTCTACCGCAATAGACTTTGAGAGTCCTTGATGCTGGCAAAGTAAAAACCGCAAAGGCTGCCTAATGTGCATGTTTTCGTATATGAACTGCATAGGCCTCAGCTTATGTAATTTGCATGCGTAGGAATATGCAAAAGATACACCAGTCGGCTCACACAAAAGAACGTTAGCTGGAAAAGTCTGCCCTAGAAATAAATTTTAAAAAATCTGAATGCAAATAAAGGACTTTACCTAAATGTATGTCATGAAGTGCATAGGAGAAAACTTATGTACCAGTACTATGTGTGTAACGCATGAGACAGTTTTTGGTAGCAAATGCGTTCATAGGAGTAGCGACCATCTAACCTCCCAAGGAGCGGCTATACCTGTATGTATATCAAAAGATACTAGGGTGAAAACTCGTGTTGCAAGTGTATTTGAATTCCGGGGTAAATGTATCTATATGTATGTCACAAGATGTATGAGGTAAGAATAAGAATAGCAGTAGAATTCAATTGTCACTACTAACAGTGAGAAAATACAAACTGTTGTAAATATTATTGGTAATATTCAAACCGAATTGCCTTAACAGGACAGGGAAGGAAAAGAATGGAAATCGTTTTGTTCAATTGCAAATACAGTATCAGCTTATTGTGTACAAACGTATCAAACACTGGGTATTGGAGTGCAAACAAAATTCATCCTAGAGTCCATTGCTAGCCATAATTGAAAAATATAATAAAGGTCATGTTGTGTTGTATGAAAGTAGTTTGTGATAAATCATTAAATTTATTGTAAAAAGGCTGTACTTTACTTTCATTAAACTATACCGGCAATATCGATCTTAGTTTGTTTTTTTTAAACATTAATGATGTGATGAGTATTTTCTCCTCATTACTCATACAGTTCTGTCATCTATTCTCATTTATTCATTTTGACGTGAATATTTCTCATACAATAATTAACATGTGAACAGATAGTTTGAAATGTATCACGCAACTATACATATATATATATATATATATATATATATATATATATATATATATATATATCAGTATCCTACCAAAATCCATCTTCTCATTTCACTATTTCAACAATCCACTTCAATTTTTTAAATTAATGAGCACATGACAATTATTCTACACTTTAGTGACCATGTTTTATCATCTGCTACTTGAAGAAACAATTCTAACAACAAACTGACATAAATGACAGAAATGTTGAAAACGGATAAGTATTGGACAGTTGTTGTAATTTCACTGGTAGTAGGTCAGTCAGTTAGTCAGTCAGATGCAACGTAGAACTTCGTACGGAAGTACATCAGTTCATGTTGCCATAACACATCAGCACAGAGATATAATTGTCAATTCAAACCCAATAGTAGAATAGGTAGTAAAGGTATTAGAAGTAATCAAAGAGGTTAGGATGAAAAGATATTATTCAGGAAGTATCATTCAGTGAGAAAAGTTTAGAAAGTCAAAACTAGAGGTGTTGAAGAATCCAGAAGATTGGGATTTGAGAGAACACAAAGCATAAATGCACCTGCGCCATTGCGAACGATTTTGACATATCATTCAAGGTCTCTAACCATCGATTATTATCACTGGTGACTTTCGTCTCGCGGGCCCCAACCATGTAGTCGACAATTACCAACATGGCTAAGTCCACTCGTCAATGACTTCATGCATTTCTGCCATGTTTTGGTCTGGCCGCCCCTAGCTTTCTTCCAACCTATTCCTACACTACAAAACAAAGCTCGTCGAGGCAGTCGGTGGTTGGGCATACGCAACACATGTCCCAACCACCTCAACTGATGAAGTTTCATTACTTCATCTATTGATCTGCCATTCTTACCTAGCACCCGTTTCCTAATAACAGCGTTGCTCACTCGCGTGTCCCACGATATACCAGCAATGCTTCGAAGACACCTATGATCGAAAAGCAGTAACCTACGAATATCTTCTACTCTCACTGGCCATGGTTTCATAGACATAAAGTAAGACGGAGCGAACTACTGCACTGAGGTAGAAGGTCTGAAATAGCACATATCCCAGCCATTTTAATCGGTGATTGACAGGCTTATTTTATTAGCTATTTTACAATCTATGCTTAATGTCATATCTTTTATCTGTGAATTTGTCTACTGTACAAATTTATCGTACATCAGTAACCACTAGAAAGTACTGACCAACAAATAATTAAAACTTATACAAGTTCTCTGTTTCTATGTATCGTGTTTCACAACAAACTTTTGAACAGTATAACGAGTATATCGACAGGAACAGTTTATTCAATCATTGAATTCTTTTTGATTACACACTCTAGCTCTGTTTTAACTGTTGATTCATCTTTATTGGTTATTCATAAGACATCATGCATGCTTTCATAACATACTCGTTTAACAAAGAAGAGAGATTAATGTCAAAGAAGATCAGTGAGTAATTAAAAAAACCGATGGTTTGTATGCAAGAGCAAAGAAGAACATTGGTCACATTTTGTAGTAGTCTAAAAAAAATCCTAAACTCCTAAAACTCCTAAAATTTATTAAAAGTTAAATAGTTCGACATGGAGAAGTGGTATAGTTTACTTATCAATTGAATAAGCCAATGATCACAATCTTCTAAAGCATAAACTCGAATGCTTCACTTCTATCATCTGAAGTTTGTGCTGATGATGTTGTTCAATAGAAGAACAATGAAAGCTCCACAACCAACACATCCTCAGCTCAGAGAACAAAACACCACCACAAGTTTTAACAATCATCTATTGTTTTGCGCTACATCATCAAACATGGGTTATGATATAATAAACATATAGGATTAGATAACAATAACGGAAACAATGATATGTCACACAGTTAGGAAGTGATTAATTACGTGATTAGTTCTATTACTTTTTTTAAAAAAAAAATAATACTCTTAAAAATTTTGTTGTTCTTTATTTTCCTACCTTAACAATTGTACAATATATTCGACTTTTGTTGACATTTTCACTGCTCATGCATAATTTAGTTAGGTAAACATTTAAAAAACTAAGAGGAAGTAGTTGGCAGTTGTTTATTTTTAGTAATGTTGTGACTTCACGATTAGTGAACTATCACGTAACCCTCTATCGGGGATCGAAATCAGAATATTGAGGTTGTGCAGCGAATGCTTAACCATTAGATCCTTATGCTGACAGCCATTCATTTAGGTGTATAGCTTCATACTTCACATGGTTGAATGCCACTTGTCATAGCTTCTGCTATGCTGGCAATAATTAAGATTACATTTGTACCCGTGAACGAAACACATAACCAGTAACACAATAACAAGTTATTCCTTTCCAGAGTCAGCAAGAAGCATATTTAATTCACAGGCATCTTAAAACGAACAAACTATAAGCACTCAACTCATGTGTAGTATATACAATGCAAAAAAACCATGAAAAATTCCAAAAATAGTGGACTTAAACGGAAAACGAACCAATGATGTCTAAGGTCTATCCAGGCGTAAAAAACAAACTGAAGATAGTAATGAGCGCTTGTGGCGCGAAAATAAACAATTCCAATCTCCACATATAAATCATAGAGATAAGTTTACTAAGTGACTCCTGGAGATCTAATATCTCCAACAGTCTCTCATTAGGACCTCTTGCGGAGGTGCTGACTACTCTTGAAGAGAATTACATTTAGACAAAACAGTCACCTGATAATTTTTAGTTTCCAATAGGTTAATTTGCGATGTAAACCACAAGAATGAAAAATTAATATAGTAGATTGTGAAAGCAGTCCCAGAAAAACTAAAATGACAGGTTATAGATTTGAAGAGAATTTCCATTGGGGACTGATTTCATCATGAAAATCACTAATAAATAAAACGTGATAGATTACTGTTTAGTGATAATTTAAGGATTTTTTTTAGCAGTTCACACACCCACAAACTCCTCTCTAATACAAGGTCGCATTTATGACAATGAACACGACTGGCATTTTCACATCCGATCGATTCGGGTGTATAGGGGGCTACCACCAGGTATGTACACTGATGAGAAGCTACACAATTGAATGAAACAACTATCTACTTCACACCAGTCAGTCATTAAAAAAAAAACAGTAAACAATTTTAATTTGTAAAAACACTTTTTTAAATTGATCGAACTTCATTTACGAGATGTTACATTCAGATACAAATATAACAATAATCTATGTGCAGTTACATCAATGTAGACAAATAAGGAAAACAAACACTCACTTACCATAGCACTTGCATTAAGTCGATTCATAATTGATGTAAGTATATGATATGAATCATATGATTCAGTAATAATGAATTTTAAAAATAATCTAATCATTAACGGTTCAGTTAAACGACGTAAAAATAATTCCAAATAGGCTGTAGCAGCTATCACTTCATCCATAGCATTCTATTAATTAAAGCAATAAAAAAATATCATATATAAATATACATATTTTTGAAACCATGAATCGATCAATGTTAGACCACCATTAGAAACCTGGAAGTACTGGACGGCCAGGTTTCTAATGGTGGTCTAACATTGATCGATTCATGTTTTCAAAAATGTGTCACTTAACAATCTTCACAACCCCGTAATGCAAATTACCTGTGCTCACTAGTAACTAGCTTGGTGAGGAATCTTCTCCGAGTTCTAGTGGGAAGACGTGACCAGTGAAGTTCAACCTGTTCGGGTGTAGACAGTAACTACCGAAGACAGTGTATGAGATTGTGCTACTCCGTGAATTGATCAAGTTAGATTAACACCGTTAGATACCGGCTCAGTGGTCCGATGGTTAGGCGTTCGCGCACAATACCGAAGGTCCAGGGTTCGAATCCTGCGGGGTGCAGGAGTCGTGGGTACGCACTACTGATGAGTCCCATACCAGGACGAAACGGACGTCCAGTACTTCCAGGTTTTTAATGGTGGTCTAACATTGATCGATTCTTGGTTTCAAAAATGTGTAACTTAATAATCTTCACAACCCCGTAATGTAAACATACGGATGTTAATCAGTATGGAAAATAGAACTTTGACAGTTATGATCACTGATCATTCATAAATTACAGTCGATTAGTTCTGTGCCTATGACTCAATTTTATACCATAAATATTCATTTACATGACCAATAATTTCAACATAGACTGCACAGTAAGTAGTGAGCACAATACCTTGAATGATTGGTTGTCTGACAAAACAAAAACCCCAACCACTGAATGATGTCACCAATTGGGACCTTAGAGAATTCCTTGAGAAATCAGAGAAGACTGTTACTACCTTGTTCAATTGGAGTTTAACAGAAGAAACGTTTGAAGCAATTCTAAAGAAATGATGAATCATGTCTAATATCCTATGAATCATTTTAGCACAAGAAATTTCACTTATAAACCTATAACAGAAGTATACTGTCTTCTCATACTACTGTTGTGCACAAAAATCCAGGTGAGGACATCAACATCTATATTTAAGCGAATATTACAGAGTTGTTAGGCATATGTACAAAACCTTCTCGTGAAATCATCATTTGCAAACGAATCCTTATTTGTTTCAGATTTCAGTGTTCTTTCATTTCTACTGTTCAGACTTCAGTTCACTTTACGTTCGTTACCTACAAATCGCCTTCTGTTCTCATTCTTTCCTTCTTGATCTTTTGCTGTCAGACATTTGATTTCCATTTGATATCATATACTACTTATGTGAACATAAGTAGTGTACACCACACTACTACTCATCACTTTTGTCTTATGTAAGATAATTTCAGAGGAGTAGAAAGTGGCTGAAAAAGTTAATCTTAAGAGTTCAATTATCTATCAAACACCATAGTTATTATTGAATAGAACATTTGAGAATAGTGGATTTCTTTCACTACATCTACAAACCAAACAAGTTATGATATATGATCGTTAAAATTTTGTGAAAAAAAAATGTCTTATCAGTTGTTCACAATTTCAGTTTATCAAAACCTGTTAATTACAATTGGAAATTTATACAAACTGAAATCTAACTCAGCATAACCAACATTTGATGTAAAGAATTGTATATCACAAATAATGACAATGCTACTAAGCAATTCAAACTGCTACCATCAAAGTACTATTAAAACATATACCTGATGTAATGCAGATCCTAAAACAGGAATCAAGAAGCCAGAGTGAATAAAATGCAATAATTGATCACAAACATGAGGATGTGCAATCTAATGATAAATAGACAGAAAAAAAAGTAAACTTTACGAATAGACATCAAAAGTTTGTAAGCGGTCAAATTTAACAATTCCACACTCACACAAATTTCACAAAAATATATATATATATAAACATCGCTAACAGGAAGGTAAGTTTGTTCGCAATTCCTAGCTAACATACTCTCACTACTATGAATAGAAATATCACAATACTATGAAACCTTTTCATTTAAATAAACAATTCAACAATGACTATGCTTACACTAGTTAAAATACGACTGATTAGATATCGGTCAACGACATGTATAACTAGTGACATAATAAAACAACAGCTAAGCTATTCTCTGCGAACCAGGTCAACTAACTACAGCAAGAAGTCAAATCCAGCAGATCTTATCGCTTTCAGATCTCGGGCATTGAACATCATAACAGTTTGAGCAAACAACTTCATAATCAGGTTCTCTACAGCTATATAGTTGCATACTGTATTATGAAACGTCAAAATCAAAGCATATATTGTTGGGGATGTTAGATCCCCAGGACTCGCTTGATAAATGCCTTATCTTGGATTTCATGTTTGCCAGCATGGGCTGATCAGTTGACCTTGAGATTTCATTTCCCACCAGGAAAATCCTTGGTTGTGATTGGCTGCTGTGTATTTTAGTGTGCTATTTTCGTAACTGTCCCAAGGACGTTTCTATGATGTATAAATAAACGAGAGTTGTGTGCTTGATAGTATTGTGATTGCTGGGCGTTTGTAGAATATACTTTCTACGCTTACAAAGACTTCTGTTTACAGCTTGGGATTCAGGGTAGCCTATCTGGACGCTGGTAATTGTCTCGTTCGCGTTTATCGACCACGGTGAACTCGTAATAGCTTCAAGCATACCTAGTGACGAACGTAACATATATAAATAAGTCATAAGTGAACTAGGCAATATTTAAAACTTTAGCATTCAGTTATGTCCATATACATCGAAAATTAGGTCATTTGTAAATTTGAAAGGTCATTTATTAATCGTAGGCGTAGGTGAATTCATTGTAATCTGTCGCATTACAATCAATCACATAAAATAAAACCATGTAAACAAAATGTATAATCAAAGAGAAATGTTATCTGGTTTATTGAAATAATAAGTCAATTATATGAATAAAATATGTAAATAAGAGCAATGTTGTTAAGATGTGAATTGAGAAAGATGAATGTACAATTTTCAAGAATGTGGATAGGGTAGAGGTGAACACCAAAAGAGCAGTGAATAACCCCACAGTGAATGGTGCTGTTAATAGATCTCGTGACTTGTTTTCCCTAACCATGTATATCAGGCAGGCTAAGGCTGTTTGAGTACGGTCTATTTAATTGGCTTCACAAGATCTATCACAACTATGTAGGGTTGCAATGTATTGTAACGTATAGTTATACTTGAAGCAATGAATAACTTAAAACGATTTGTTTTAATGTCTGTTTATTGCATCTGCTTATTCTTTAACTACTGATTACCTTCAACAAAAATGATAACCATAATAACATAAAAGAAATTAGTCACAATGTAATCATCTAGTATACTTTCGAATAGAATAATATGGGATTTTATGGACCACCACTTCATCGCTAACACAATGATCACAGGATATATAATGTCAATAAGAATAAGGAACCTTAAACCGAAACAATTTAATCAATTTGTACATCAATGCATTATGGTACTAGTTTCGTTGAAGGTTTTCAAAATAAATGCTAATAAAAACATACACTGGAAAACACATGTCTTAGTCTTACTTTAAGCTAGTCCAATAATTTTTTGCAAAAAAAAAATATGGAATG